CCAGCCTCTCCCGGTTCAAACCAATCAATTGGCGAACGGCATCGCCTCCTGTATAATGCTTCATATGGAGCCATCTGAATGCTCGATTGGCAACTGTTATTATAGGCAAACTCCGCAAGTGGCAAGAACTGATCCCAAGAATCTTCAAAGTCTATAACACAAGCGCTAAGCATATCCACCCAAGGCCCCCGGGACCTCGACCAAATACCCCAACAAGTCCTAAAACATCATACGAACTTAGTCGAAACCTCAAATTACATCAAACAACGCTAAAATCACGAATCATACCCCAATTCAAACTTAAGAAAACTTAAGAATTTTCAACTTCTAAATTCGATGCCGAAACCTATCAAATCAAGTCCGAATGACTTCAAATTTTGCACACAAGTCATAAATGATATAACGAACCTATAAAAATTTTCAGAACTGAATTCTGACCCCGATATTAATAAAAGTCAATTTGTGGTCAAACTTTAAATTCTTTAAGCCTTTAAGCTTCTTGTTTTCGCCAACTGACGATAATCCAAGTTAGGGACCTCCAAATTAAATTTCGGCCATACGCCCAAGTCCCAAATTACGATACGGACCTATGGGAACTGTCAAAATACTGACCCGAGTTCGTTTGCTCAAAATATTTACCAAAGTCAACTCAGTTGAGTTTTAAAGCTCTATTTCATATTTTAATCCATTTTTCACATAAAAACTTTTCGAAAAAAATTTATGGACTGTGCACGTAAGTCAAAAAATGATAAATAGTAATTTTCGAGATCTTAGAACACAGAAATAAATGTTTAAATTAAATATGACATTTTGGGTCGTCACAGTACATTTAATTTTTTTTTCTTAATATTAATTGTCAAGATATATAAGTAGCATTATTAAATTTGTCAGTAACATTACCGTGAACAAATATCAAGTCCAAGTTCTTAATCATGCTTAATGAAATATGTTTAATAAAAATTAAAAAAACAAGTACATTGATTTATCAGCCAAGCCATACCCATTAATTTAATAAATAAAATACCCACATTTAGCAAAATGACACATCAGATTAACACTTTCAAATAAATAATATTAACAGATAAAACTTTAAAAAACTTAATATTAAACACAAATATCTTTGAAACTTCTTTTAAAATTTTTATTGACTTAAAAAAACTATCATTTATTAAACAAATCTATTTTATTATTTTAAATAAATATTTAAAAATAAATGTTTTTTTTTATTTAAAACATGTTTATGTTTGAATGATTAAACAAATTGAATGCCATGAAAAAATTAAATGTATGAATATATTATAAAAATAATAAAATAAAATAATATAAATTTATTTTAATTATAAGTAAAATACCTAGGTAAAAATATATTATATAGTATATAATATAAAAGGTATTACACATAAATGAGAGAATTTATGATGTTAAGAACATAATAGACTTTTCAAGTAAAGGTATTATAAAATATGCCTAAGGTGACTTTTGTGACAAATAGAGCAAGGTAAAATAATTTTTGTGTAACAAAAGAAAGAAAAGTGATTTTTGGGTAATGAACACAAAGTTGAATGATTTTTCGGTAACAAAAAGAAGAAAAATAAATTTTGCATAATGAACACAAAGTTGAATGACCACCCATGGAATTTATTCGAAAGAGTCTAATTATTAGATTACTAAATTATTCGAAAATTAGTATGGTTTACTTAAGATAAACGATCAAACCGCACCATATTCACCCGTTATACTTACCAAGCTCGTCTTCTTTTCCCACGAAACAAAAGTTAATTCACTTTATTCTCGGAGAAAAAAAAAACAAAAAAGAAAGAAACTTAGATGCTTTATATTAGTTGCTTTCGATTTTATTAATTTGTTATATCTTTTTTACTCTCTAATAACTGAAAATCGTACAAATATAAAAGAGTTAACCCAGACGCATAATTGATGTCCACCCTCAAAATCCAAACTAAATCTGTCCCTCATATTTAATTGTCTTTTAGATATCATTCATCTAGAGTCTAGATTCTAGATTATATTACTATTGTTGCAAAAGAGAAAAAAGAATCATCCTTTTCGTAGTTATTGAGTTAAAACCCTTGCTTTTAACTTTAATTAATGTAACAAATGAATGAGCCTGGATTATTAACGTATGTCAGTAAAGGAGAGCCCTTTTCGGACCCTAAAGGAAAAAGCGAATTAAGAAAGTGTAATTATTGTAGCTTTCCCTTTGTTCCTATTATGAAGAAAGCAAGATAATTAGGCTAGTTCTATTTTAACAACTATAGCTTCTATAGTAATCAATTAGCCAGACGCCCAGACGTAATGATTAGCGTGCAAAATTAGCTTCTAGTTTTAAAAAATATTTGAAACTAAAATACTGAATGAATTAAGGGAATATAGTTGGTCTTGATTGAACTCCCAAAATTCCTGTTGAGTTTTGAAGTTTTGATGATTAACAAAGTATGACTAAATGCTTAAAGAATCAAGTCCTCAACGTAACTGCTTAATTGTTCTGAAGAACCAGCTCCTCAGGATAAATGACCAGTTCCTCATGTTGATACTTGTATGTCCGTACAAGACAGTAACTTATCATAAAGTTATCCAGGTCGGAGTTTGGTGGATGAAGGCTACTATATGTGACAAGGGCCGTTGCTCAAGAAGATATGGATAATTCAGTCAGAGACAAAAGTCCCAAAGCTTATGGAATCCTTAGAACAGTAGGAGTCCTATCAAAGAGGAAGCTAACTATGAATAAGACTCCTAGAAGATCTCAAGTTGAAGAGTTTAAATATGATCAACTTTGGACTTCTGAACTATCCTTACACATCAACTAAAATAGCCATAAGTCGTTTACTTGAGTCGAGTACTTACATCGTATTCTTCTTGAGTTAATCTAGTAAATGTGTTGTAGAAAATTGAGTTGTAATCAAGTGTCATTAACAATTATTGAGTTGGAGTGAGTGTTTTACAAGTTAGAGTAACTTGTGAATCAAATAGGAGTAGTAGGAGTACTGGAGAGTATTGAATTATAGTCTTGTAATTGATATATTATGTCTTATTGTTCTAGTGGAGTTGGAGTTGAAAATCCTACGTAGTAGGTCGTGGTTTTTGCACCTTTTGTAATAGATTGTCTAACTACATTTCCCTTTGGTGGTTTTAACACGATGCCAAGTCTGGACCCTTTTGCGTTCGAGGCGCCATCTATAAAAAGGTCCTAGATCCCCGAAGAAGTCCTTGAGTTCAATAATAACTCTCTTTCGACTTCGGGTACCAGCGTCGGCATAAAATCGGCCACAAAATCTGCCAGAATTTGAGATTTAATGGCGGTTCGAGGCCGATATCCAATATCGTACCCGCTGACCTCAACGGCCCACTTGGCTAAGCGTCCCAAGAGTTCGGGTTTATGCATTATATTTCTCAATGGGTAAGTAGTCACAATACGTATGGGATGGCATTGAAAATACGGTTTCAACTTCCTAGAGGCGCTTAGCAAAGCAAGCGCCAATTTATCTAGGTGAGGGTATCTAGTTTCGGCCTCACTTAAAGTTCTGCTAACGTAGTAAATTGGGAATTGCGTACCTTTTTCTTCCCGGACCATGACTCCACTTACCGCTATCTCTGAGACCTCCAAGTAAAGGTATAGTTGTTCGTCTATCTTCAGCGTGTGGAGTAGCGGCAGGCTCGACAGATATTGCTTGAGCTCTTCCAAGGCCCGTTGGCATTCCGGAGTCCATGAGAAGTTACTCTTTTTCTTCAATAATGAGAAGAATCGGTGACTCTTATGGGAGGACCTCGAGATGAATCTCCCCAGAGCGGCTATGCGCCCGGTTAGCCTTTGCACGACCTTTACATTATCTATGACCGTGATATAGTCGATGGCTTTGATCTTATCGGCGTTGATCTCGATTACCCGGTTGGATACCATGAATCCGAGGAATTTACTCGATCCAACTTCGAACGTACACTTCTTCGGGTTCAGCTTCATGTTGTATTTTTTTAATACGTTGAAGGTTTCCTACAAGTGTTTTAAATGGTCCTCTGCTCGCAAGGACTTAACCAACATATCGTCAATGTAAACCTCCATTGATTTTCCTATTTGTTCTTCGAACACCCGGTTTACTAGGCGTTGATAAGTGGCACCCGCATTTTTTAACCCGAATGACATTACGTTATAACAGTATGTGCCATATTTAGTGATAAATGAGGTTTTTTCCTGATCATCCGGGTTCATCCATATTTGGTTGTACCCAGAGTAGATGTCGAGAAAACTGAGGATCTCGTGGTCGGCCGTGGCATTGATCATGCGATCGATGTTGGGCAGAGGGAAGGAGTCCTTGGGACATGCTTTATTCAAACCCTTATAGTCTACACACATTCTTAATTTATCCCCTTTCTTAGGAACTACCACTACGTTCGCTAACTAATTAGGGTATTTAACTTCCCGAACGGACCCTATTTTAAGGAGTTTAGATACATCATCCTTGATGAAAACTTTTTGATCTTGGACTAGGGCCTCCTCTTCTTCTTGACCGGGTGGAACTTCGAATCTAAGCTTAGCTTGTGAGTGGTTATTTTCGGTGGTATCCCTGTCATAACGAGGTGGGACCAAGCAAACAATCTTTGTTAGCTATAAGAAATTGAATGAGTTTTTTCCTGAGCTCGGGATTTAACCCCGTACCCAGGTATACCTTTCGATCGGGCAAGTGTTCACTTAGTACGACTTGCTCTAGTTCCTCGACCGTTGATTTTGTAGCGTCCAAATTATCGGGGGCAATGAAAGACCTAGGGACGCCGTAGTCGTCACCCTTGTCTATCCTCCGCTCATCCAATTATGTTGAGGTTGGTATCAGTGATTGCTATTTGGCCCCATTTTCAACCACTAGATTCGTACACTTAGATACCGAGAGTGTGGATGCCGAGATCACCTCATCGGCAGCGAACATCTCCTTTGTGGTCGGTTGTTCCCCGTAAATTATTTTGATTCCTTCGGGCATCGGGAATTTCAGCACCTAGTGCAATGTCGAGGGTATTGCCCTCATGTTGTTAATATATGGCCTTCCGAGCAAAGCGTTGTATCTCATATCCCCTTCAATTACATAGAACTTGTCTGCCTTAATGGTTCCGGTGACGTTCACCGGTAATTTTATTTCCCCTTTAGTGGTCTCACAGGCCATATTGAACCCATTTAGGACTCGGACAGCAGTACGATCTGATCTTGTAGGTTGAGTTATTCCACGACCCTCGATCTGGTGATATTGGACGAGCTACCTGGATCAATCAACACACGTTTAACTCGATATTTATTTATGAGTACCGATATTACCAGTGCATAGTTGTGGGGTTGTGCGATCCCCTCTTCATCTTTTTCGTTGAACGACAAGGTTCCTTCCGGTAAGTAATCTCGAGTCCGTTTCTCCCTTGTGATGAAAAGTTTGGTACGCTTTAGCATTGATCCCCGGGGGATGTCGAACCCACCAATGATCATGTTTATGACGTGTTGAGGTTCCTCTGGTTTAGTTTGTTTATTAGAATCCATGTTCCTAAAATGGATCTTGGCCCGATCATTGAGGAATTCTCGGAGATGCCCATTGTTGAACAACCGGGCTACCTCTTCCCTTAATTGTCGACAATCTTCCATTCTGTGACCATGAATGTCGTGATATTTGCACATAAGGTTAGGATCCCTTTGGGTTAGATCAGATTGCAAAGGTCGAGGCCATTTGGTATCTTTGATGTATCTGATGGCGGACACGATAGCAGAGGCATCGATGCCGAAATTATATTCTGATAGCCTCGGTGCTTCTTTAGGCCCGATGGGTCTGTCGAAGTTGTTTTTGCTCATGAGTCCTCGGTTGTTCTGTCGGCGGTCATTTCGTTTTTCATTTCTCATAAGGTTTCGCCCGGACCCACTGCTTCTCCGGTCCCTATTTTACTATTGATACCGATCCCGGTTTGATCTAGGTTCGTGATCGGTGTCTTTCTTGACTCGGTCGGTGATCCTGACGGGGTGTACGGATCTGGAAGGGGTCCTGAGTTGGTCATCCTCGACCCTGATTTTTGATTAGTACCAGTTATGGACGTCGGTCCAAGTGATGGCTGGATATTCTACCAAGTTTTGTTCCAACTGTTATGAAGCCAATGAGCTTTGAATGTTGAGTCCATGGGTGAAAGCCTAAATGGCCCAATCGTCTGCGACCGAGGGCAAATCCATACGTTCCATTTGGAATTGAGAAACGAATTCTCTAAGCATTTCGTTATCCCTATGCTTTACTTTGAAAAAGTCTGACTTCCTTGTCTCAACCTTTATAGCACTGGCGTATGCTTTTATGAAGGAATCTGCAAGCATAGCAAACGAGTCAGCATAATTAGGAGGAAGGTTGTGGTACCATATCATATCTCCCTTTGACAGGGTCTCTCCGAATTTTTTCAACAAGACAGACTCGATCTTATCATCTTCCAAGTCATTCCCTTTGACGACGCATGTATACGAGGTTACATACTCGTTTGGATCGGTCGTTCCGTTGTACTTAGGGATTTCAGGCATGCGAAATTTTTTGGGGATCGACTTCGGAGCGGCGCTTGGGGGAAAAGGATTTTGAATTAATTTCTTGGAATCCAGGACCTTCAATATCGGGGGTGCTCCTGGGATTTGGTTGACCCTAGAGTTGTAGGTTTTCACCTTTTTATCATTGGCTTTGATTTTATTTTCCCCTATTTCTATCTGTTTCGTCAATTCTTCGAGCAATTTCATGATTTCGGGGTTAGTACCCGATTCACTCTCACTCGTTCTTTCCGAGATTGGTTCGTTCCTGCGGATGGCTTCCCGGGGGAGCTCGGGTTCATTCCTGCTCAGTGTTCGACCTTGGTTATGAAGTTGAGCTATCGCCGTCTATTGAGCATGTAGCATTCGAAGATCATATGCAGTTTGATCCCATCATTTTCGCCATCGTGAGTGTTTTGGGCAATCGAACGCACTTCCCTGTGCACGCTGTTTTTGGGGTCGGTGGGCTGGTTTGTTTCGATGGCCATATAAAAACAGGCATCGATGGGAACCACCACCAGGATTCTACCAAGATCGACCGGTGTTGCCTCATTACCGAGCGCTGCATTCTTGTTCCTATCGTGGTGGCCGGATTCTATGTCTATGTTAGGGGGACAGACTGTGGGTTTGACTTTTCGATCCTGACCTGAAATCAGAAATACTTCATAGAACAAGTGTAAAATGGGGTGTGTTATAGTGATTCATATCCTTAGCCCCACGGTGGGTGCCAAACTATTTACCCTCAAAATCGGATAACAATTGAATTTGTTTGTGGTTTAAATGATATGCAGATTAATTTGATACTAAACAATAACTTTGATAGCAATTGAAATAAATAACGATAAATTAACTGCATACCACACGAATTGGATATTAGGCCTAGGAAAGGTGGCCACCCTCGTGCTGGATGTACTTTGATTGACACCAAGATATCAAAGAATAAGAACTTAAAGAATAACGGTAATATCTTGCTTATGAGTGTATGTTACAATGTCCTTCATGAATTGTGAGGCCCCCTTTATATATTAGAGGAACCTACTTTTCGCGTATGTGTTATAGACTTTGAAAGTTCTTGGGATCAGTTCTTGCCACTTGCGGAGTTTGCTTAAAAAAATAGCTACCAGTTGAGCATTCAGATGGCTCCATATGAGGCATTATACGGAAGGTGATGTCGTTCGCCAGTTGGCTGGATTGAACCGGGAGATTCTCGGTTGTTGGGTACCGATTTGGTACAGGATACCTTGGATAAGGTCAAGATTATTCAGGATCGACTTCACACAGCTCAGTCTAGGAAAAAGAGTTATGTCGATCGTAAAGTTCGTGATATTGCATTCATGGTTGGAGAAAGAATATTGCTCCGGGTTTCACCTATGAAAGGTGTAATGAGGTTTAGAAAGAAGGGCAAGTTGAGCCCTAGGTATATCGGACCCTTTAAAATTCTTGAAAGGGTGGGTGAAGTAGCCTACGGGCTTGCATTACCACCTAGTTTATCAGAGGTTCATCTGGTGTTCCATGTGTCTATGCTCCGTAAATATCACGGTGATCCATCCCATTTGTTAAATTTCAGCTCAATCCAATTGGATAAAGATTTGACTTACGAGGAGGAGCCGATGGCTATTCTAGCCCGGCAGGTCCGTCAGGTGAGGTCTAAGAGTTATACTTTAGTTCGGGTGCAATGGAGAGGTCAGCCGGTAGAGGCGTCTACCTGGGAGCCCAAGTCGGACATGCGGAGTAAATATCCACACCTTTTCTCCAGCTTAGGTACTTTTTCTAACTCCGTTCGAGGACGAAAGTTTGTTTTAGAGGTGGAGAATGTGATGATCCAAAGTGTCATCTTTAAATTTAATAAGTAATTATGTGTTCTAAGACCTCGAAAAGCATTATTTATCATTCCTCGACTTGCATGCGCAGTCCGTATAATTTTTCGGAAAGTTTTTGTGTGAAAAATGGATTAAAATGTGAAATAGAGCTTTAAAACTCAACTGAGTTGTCTTTGGTCAACATTTTGAGCAAACAGACTCGGATCAGTATTTTGACTGTTCTGATAGGTCCGTATCATGATTTGGGACTTGGGCGTATGCCCGGAATCAAATTTTGAGGTCCCTAGCCCGAGATATGGAATTTTGATGAAAAATTAAAAGTTTGAAAGCTTAAAGATTTTTAAAAATTTACTGATGTTGGATTTATTGATACCGGGTCTGTATTTTGGTTTCGGAGCCCGGTATAGGTCCCCTATAATATTTATGACTTGTCTGCCGAATTTGGTGAGAAACGGAGTTGATTTGACGTGATTCGGACGTCCGGTTGTAAAAATATAAGTTTTAAAGTTTTCTTGAAAAATTTCTTTGAATTGGTATCCGATTCGTAGTTCTAGGTGTTATTTTGACGATTTGATCAAGCAATCAAGTTTGTATGATGTTTTAGGACTTGGGTGCATGTTTGGTTTGGAGCCCTGAGGGCTCGGGTTAATTTCGGATGGTTAACGGATCATTTTGGACTTGGAAAAAAAATTGTAGAAAATCTGCTTCTGGTTTCCTTCTTCGCGTTCGTGAGAGGGGTCTCGCGTTCGCGAAGGGAAAGAGGCTAGCCAGGAAATTTGCCTTCGCGAGCCAGGTAAGTTTCGCGTTCGCGAGGTAGCCCTCGCGTTCGCGAAGAGTAAAATCGGACATCATAAATTTGTGCTTCGCGAACACGAGGCACTGACCGCGTTCGCGAAGGGTAAAAATTCGAGAAACAGAACTTAAGTTCTGGAAAATGGGATTTGTCCCATTTTCAACCATTTTTCTATTTTTGAGCTCGGGTAAGACGATTCTTAGGCGATTTTCACGAAAAAATATTGGGGTAAGTGTTCCTTATCCTATATTGATTATATTTTATGATTCCATACTCATGTATATCATGAATCCGTAAAATTTTGGGAGAAAAATTATATTTTTATAAAATCTTCCAAAAACGAAAATTTAAGATTTGAAGGTCCATTTGACATCGGAATTTGATAATATTTGTATGGTTGGACTCGTCTCGGAATGCGTGTTCGGATTTCGTAAATTTTTCTGAGATTTGAAATGTGGGCCCCAATGTCAATTATTAAAATAAATTTTGGATTTTATCCGGAAAATTAGTAAATTCATATGGAATTAATTCCTACAATTTGTATTGAAGATATTGAATTGTTTATAACTAGATTTGAGGATTTCTGACACTGATTCGCAAGGCAAGGGTGTATTGGAAACTTAAAATTTGGTTGCGAAACGAGGTAAGTGATGTGGTTAACCTTGACTTGAGAGAATAGAACCCTTAAATTATTTGTTATGTGAAATGCATGTGAACGACGTATAGGCGACGTGACGAGTGTCTATACGTTGTCAAATTAATTATTTGTATAATTATTTAAAAATTCTAAATTTATTTTAATATACGAATTAATTGTTATGATAATTATTTTTCTCCTATTCTTTGTCAAATATTAATTTTTGAATTCGTGCAATAATTGCTACATGTTGATTTGATTTATGTGCATTAATTACTAATTGTTATGTGAAATGCATGTGAACGACGTATAGGCGACGTGACGAGTGTCTATACGTTGTCAAATTAATTATTTGCATAATTATTTAAAAATCCTAAATTTATTTTAATACACGAATTAATTGTTATGATAATTATTTTTCTCCTATTCTTTGTCAAATATTAATTTTTGAATTCCTGCAATAATTGCTACATGCTGATTTGATTTATGTGCATTAATTACTAATTGACATTTAGCATATTAAATAGTAAACTTCCTATTTTCTCCCTGATTTTCATAATAAATTACTATTTGTCATTGTTTGTTTCATAATTAAATCATAATTATTGTATGTTTGTTGTCTTAAAAAATTTATATTAATTGTTGCATTTATTTGGGCAATTTCTTCTATAAGAATTGGTAAATTGATATATTGGAGGAGCGGGTGGCACGCCGCAACAGAATTGATTGAAATAAATATATTAGGGGACCAGGTTGCATGCCGCAACAGACTTATTAAAAGTCGATATTGGGGAATCGGGTTGCTCGCCGCAACAGACTTATTAAAAGTCCATATTGGGGGATCGGGTTGCACGCCGCAACAGACTTATTAAAAGTCCATATTGGGGGATCGGGTTGCACGCCGCAACAGACTTATTAAAAGTCCATATTCGGGGATCGGGTTGCACGCCGCAACAAACTTGTTCAAAAGTCCATATTGGAGGATCGGGTTACTCGCCACAATAGACTTATTTAAAAGTCTATATATACTTGATTAAAATAAATATATTGG